CTGTGAGCTCCAAACTCTGCCACGGTTTGAACGTCGTCCGAAGGCGGAGGTGAAGGAGAAGCGGGCCCACGGCACGGACGCCAGCAAGGACGCGAGCAAGGGCAAGAACACGACCCAGAGCAAGGCCGAGGGCGGCAAGGTCAAGAACACCATCGCCGACCTCAAGAACCTGCCGCGCACAGGGAACCACCCTGTGCTCGGCAAGCTCAACGTGTGCTACGGCACGAGTGCCTCGTACGTCACGTACAAGGACGAGGGGGGCACGCCACGACTTCTGGTCCAGGTCGGCTCCTCGATGTGCGCCAAGCACGCCGAGATGTTGGCCAAACTTCTGCAGCACGCATGTCGGTCGGGCTGCTCGAAAGAGGAGCTCGTCTCGTATCGTGGCACACTTCTCGCGAAGTAGCACACGCGTGCCGAGAGGGACGGCAATACTGACCAGGAGGAAGAGGAGGACAAGGACGATGAGGGAGAGGAGGATGCCGAACACCCTCGGCACGCGACACGCCAGCGTTGAGATGCGCGCTGCGATTCTCACAGGAGGGGGGGTCGAAGAGGGGATCGGGGAGGAGGCGGAGACCACGCGGTATTCGCAGCAGGCCAGGGGGCGCCTGCTGCCGCCGCGCATCGCGTGCAGGGACAGGAAGCCCGACACTGTCGGGGTATGTGCTGCGCTTCCAATGCTCGCAATGCGTTGAGTTTCGAACGCAGTTGAACGGAGCTTCCAGTGGTCTGTGCGCTGAGCTCCCACTGGTCGCCCGACCCTCGAACATATTCACCTCCTCCTCATGGTCACACTCCCGTCATAGAGTGTCTCAAGGCTTCGCGGATGGATACCTCGCCCTAACCACGGGTGTAGGTGCTGGTTGAGTCGATAACAAGCGTGGTTATCGGCATGTTAATAGCTGACGCCACGCGCATCACCACCAGCCCATCCAGAAACGATGCCCAGGAGAGTTAGGGTGATCAAGTAAGGGGGCCGTGCATAAGAACAACAGGCGGGGGTGAACCGTCCGAGGCGAGGGGAGGGGGAGGAGGAATGAGAATGATGAGGAGGAGGGGGCGGAGGAACAGGAGGAAGGTGAGAACGACGGAGCGGATAAGGAGGGGGGATGAAGAGTAGGAGGGGGGGATGAGGAGGAGGAAAGGGAGGAGGAAGAACACGACACATACTATGCAGAAAAAGGAGGGGGGAATCGGGAAAAGGTGCCAAACCTAAGAACATCATCGGGCATGTCTTGTACGTGTTTATGGGCGCCTCGGGGAAAATTTGGGGGATGAGGGGGGGGGCATCTCGGGTGCCTGGGGTGGCCTATTGCAGCCTCGTGGTGACCCCTTGGGGGCGTCTTCGAGGCAGCTTGGGCGCCTCGTGGGGCCGTCTGGACAATTATTGGGGCCCTCTTGGGACACGCGTGGGTGCCATGGGACGCTCGTCGGGCCATCTTGGAGGGCATCGATCAAAGACGAGATCCATGCTTACCCTCGCCGTTCTAGGGTGCCGAGCATCGCCTCTTGGGCCATTCTTGGTGAGTTCTTGAAGCACACGTGGACGCCGTTGGGGCTGACGTGGGCCTCTCTGGGGCCCGCGTGAGCCCTCGCGGGGCCATCGTGAGGCCTCGGAGGGCCGTCGGAAGCGATTATGCGAGATAGTCGCACACGTTGTTTCCCCCTAGGTGTTGGAAACGTGCTTGCCTATTCACTGCCTCATTGGGGAGCTCGTTGGCCAGTTGGAGCCGCCTTGGGGCTGTATTGGAGCTTATGTTGTACCATCGTGGGGGCCATCTTGGCCACCGTGGGGTATCGTGAGTCATATTTGGGCTCATCTTGGGCTCTGCGAGGTGCTCTCGGAGCCATATTGTGCCCGATTGTACGCTCCAACCCCTCCCCCCCTGCCCACCATGCACGTCCACGGGATGGGCATGGGGGAGGAACGCACCCCTCCCCGAAGGGGAACAGGGGCAGACTGGCGACGCGACACGCTGGATCACACACGCACGCCATAAAGGGCTGTTGGGATTCACATGGTAGTGTATACGACTGGTCAAGTTGGTAGGCGTGTATGTGGGGCGTGTATGTGGGGTCACGAACAATTCTCGACCCTCCCCGACCCCCACCCCGCCCGTTTACGTTAGATGTCGCTAATTGACGTGGCGGTCAGCGGAGGGGGAGGGGGAGGGCGCGGAGGTGGAGGATGAGGGGGAGGAGGAGGGGGATGATGAGGAGGAGGAGGAGGAGGAGGAGGAGGAGGATGAGGAAGATGATGGGGAGCATGGGGGTGAGGATGAAGGAGGATCCTTTCTGAAGGTGCGGTTGCGGCTCGGCCGCCGCGCCCCCCTCGTCCTCCTCCTCGCCGTCTCATTCCCACGTCGAGCGGCCCCTTGCTTCCAGGCCGCCGATCGTGCCGAGCGATGAGGGGGGGTGTGCGGATGAGGAGGGTGAAGAGGGGGGCGCTAGAGGAGGAAGAGGGTGAGGAACATGAGAAATGCCGATGGAGGATGTTGGCGATGCAAGGTGGAGGCGCGGGCGGAAGATGGGACAGTAGGGTGGAGAGAGAATGGCCGATGGCTGGCGTGTGGATGGGGAACGGATAGCTAGACGGAGTAGTCATAGAGGAAGGGTGGAGGCGAGATGGGGGGTGGTCATTGAGGGGAGAGGGAGGGCGGGCATGGAGGGATCGAGAGCGACAGGGGCCGGATGTGTGAGCGCACGGGGGTGGATACAAGGGGGATGGAGTAGGTGCGCAAGACATCATATTAGGCACGCAGAACGGAGGGAGACGGATGGGGGATGCCAGAGAGGGGAAGGACTGAGAATGGAAGGACTGAGAATGGAAGGATGGAGGGGGGATGGTGGAGGACGGGTGGAAGGGCGATGGACGAGGGATGATATCGTCGAGTCCCACGTATCCCCCTCTCATCGCTCACGCTTCCCTCTACTCCATGTATGTCCTCCACTTCTTTCATCACGTTATATCGTTCCGTTCTCTCCCCGCATCCCCCTCCATACTCCATGCCACTCTCATCGTGTCTCCCTCGCTCTCGGTTGGCCATGTCCGTTCATGTGGTATGGTATCTAGCTATATGGTTTTATCTCCCTGCCCGTCGATCCTCTCTCCCCCGTCGCTCAACAGTCCCTGCCCGTCGTGCAGTCTTCCCTCCTCGGCGGGCATCCCTCGCTCCTGCCGATATGCAGCCCGTCCTCGTTTGCAGTGTGACCGCACCCCCATCGCACGGTCGATGATCAGGTACAGAAACAACCGCAATGTAAACGTATATCAACAGTCTGACGCCAATCTGACGTCGGTCTGACGTCAGTCTGACGTCAGTCTGACGTCAGGTGATCCATCTGACAAACATCTGACGTCAGACGAACGTCAGACATATCGTCTGACGCCAGACTGACGTCAGACATTTGTCAGATCGATCGTCTGACGTCAGACTGACGTCAGATTGGCGTCAGACCGACGTGATGCAGCCGAGAACCAATCGTGCAGTCACAACAATAAAACACACGATGCGCGCACACACGCACACGCAAAAACAATGAAACAAAAACAAACAAAAAAAAAAAAAAAACTCACCGCGCACACACGCGCTCGCATGAAACTACGTTGCTCGACTGCACACGTGGTTCTCGGAGGCTGGCCCGTGCGGTGCCAGACTGGACAGATCGTTCGGACTCTCGCGAGAGGCGCGAGGCTCGAGCTGCTCCAGGTTCGCAGAGTCGAGCCCGCACCCGACGCCCACGCGTCCAAGGGGCCTGCCTGGCTCGATGGTCCAGGTGATGAAGAAGACGAAGGTCAAGGCTGCGGCGAAGGCCCCCGCTGTCCGCGGGAAGCCCAAGGCGAAGGCCACGGTGATCAAGAAGCCCGCCAGCGCGGGTGATGGAGCGACGTGGGCGGAGCTTGAACTCCACCTCCCTGGTCGCTCCTCCCCTGTCTACTGCGCCTTCCACTTCATTAATACATAGTATCTCCTCATCTGGAATCCCTCATGCGTGTCCTGCTCCCTCCCGCGCATTTCCCTTGGGCAGTGTGACTGAGCATTGTGCATTTATATTGGCGAGAGTGGAGGCGGGCAACGAGTGGGAGGGAGCAATCTACTGGGTGGGGAAGGCAGGGGAATAGATCCCGCCACCTCCGCTCGGAGGTGGTCCTGCGAGCAGCTCGCGTCTGCGGCCGCGGCCTGCGCGTCCATCGAGGAGAAGCAGGACCTCTTCAAGGCCCACGCCGACGTCAGCGACCCCGCGCACCTCAAGTGCATCTTTACGGACAAGGAGATCAGGCCGTTCTTGATTCAAACAGGGGCCTGCAGCGATGGAGAGACGCGGGGGCGACGCGCTCGTGGGCGGTGGCATCGGTCACGTGGCCACGTTGCCCCCGCCCGCGAACGCCTCGCCCCCGACGCGCCCGCATCGCCAATGGCCCCTGGCGAGGGCGCTGTATGGACGGTTCGAGACCGCCAGGAAGAAGAAGCCCAAGGCTGCGGCGGCCTACGAGGAGGCTCGCGGGGGAAACCTTCCATATGCGACTACGTCCTCATCCTCCTCACCACCATCCCCTCCCTCGGCCTCACCATCCCCATCCTCCTCCTCCTCCTCCTCCTCCTCCTCCTCCTCCTCCTCCTCATCATCATCATCATCATCATCGTCCTCCTCCTCCTCCTCCTCATCATCATCATCAGCATCCCCTTCCCCCTTCCTCCCCGTCCGCATCCCCATCCTCATCCTCATCCTACTCGTCCTGGTCCTGCTCCTCCTCCTCCTCCGCCTCATCCGCCTCCTCCTCCTCACCTCCCTCCCTTCCTCCTCCTGTTCCTCCTTCTTCTGCTCCCCTCCCTGCCTGCCTCATGCTCATGCGTCGAGGCCATGCGCCAACCATAAAACCTGCCCCAGATACGGCACCGTGTGACCACCCTCCCTAGCCTCATGCACTCATTCTCTCGCCCGCCCTCGTCCATCTCCGCCTCATATGTCCCCTCGCCCAGCCATGTGGGCCCCAGGCGTCTACGGCGTCGACTGGCAAGCAGCTCTCCAAGCAGAAGCTGCTCATGGGCTTCCTCGTGGACCCGCAGCTGGGCGACGCGTTCATGGAGATCACGCAGAGGCTGAGCTTCAGCGAGACGATCACCAGGACGGCGAAGTGGTGCACTAGGAAGCAGGCCTTGGAGGTGTACTCGGACTCGGAGCTGGACGAAATGGTGGCGAACGACAAGATCGAGGTTCCGATGGGTGTCGCACGTGCACAGGGCACCCGCCCATCTATTGGGTGGACGTGAGAGGGGAGGAAGAATTGGACATCTACCCTACCAACCGCTGACGCTTCGCGTACCCCCACCATCCCGTCCAGAAACGATGCCAAGATGAGTTGAGGTGATCAGGGAAGTGAGGTAGCATGCAAGACACGAGGCGGGGTACGCCGTCCGATGTGGGGGAAGGAGGGATCAGAAAGTCTGAGGGGCAGGAGGAGGAGCAGGCGGATAATGACAAAGTGGATCATGAGGAGGAGGATGGGCTGGAATCTGAGGAGGGGGAGGATGAGAGGGAGGAGGGTGAGGAGGAGGAGGAGGAGGAGGAGGATGAGACTAACGACGTACGAACATATGAGCCTCGTCGGATGCCTGTTGTGACTTGGTGGTTTGATGCCTAGCCTCGGCGGTCCCCTTGAAGCCTCTTGGGGATCTCGTGGGGTCCCTTTTAGGCAGCGCGTGCGCCTCTTGGGACCTCCTGGACGCCTCTTGGGGGCATAATTGGTGCACTCGTGGGTGCCTTGGGGGGGTGTTCTTCGGGGCACCTTGGGGGACATCGGTCAAAAAAGGGGGTTCCGAATCACCCTCGCCATTCTACAATGCCTACCGTCGCCTATTGATGCCCCCTTGGGGCGATCTTGGATCACCCTCGAGCGCTCTTGGGTCCGTATTGAGGCTCCCGTGGGCACCTCATGGGACAATAATGGGCATATTGGAGCCGCCTTGAGGCCTCGGAAGGCCATCCGAAGCGAAACGGCAATACATCAACACAATGGTGTCCCTTAGTTTTTGGACACGAGTTTTGCCTCTTCGGGCCCTCCTTGGTGAGCTCTTTGGCCACTTGGAGCCGTCGTAGAGCAGTGGTGGGGCCTATTGGAACAACGTGTGGGCCACCTTGAGGCTCGGGATACATTGAGCAATACTGGAGCTCATCTTGGGCTCTCCGAGGCGGTCTTGGATCCATTTCGGGCCATCTTGGACGCTCAAACTCCTCGCGGGACCCCTCGTCCAGGTCCATGGGGAGGGGGCAGGGGACATGCCCCCAACGGTGAAGAGGGGCACATGTAAAACACTACACCCTAAACCACCTACGCCCTGAAAGGCTGGTGTGGTTGAACCACCCCCTTCGTTCCACCCCCCTCCTTATCACCACTCCACGTTTATATGTACCGATTTGACTCCCAGACTCGCCCGAACCCAGACAACCCGCGGCGCCAGCAATTCAAGCTGATCCAGGACGCTGGTGAGAAGCGGTTCACTCGCAGCAAAGAGCAGGGCGGCACTGGCAAAAAGAGCATTTCGAGGGACGCCTTCGACGAGCTTGGCGCAGGCATGGCAGGCATGAAGATGTGCACGGATCTCGTGAGCCACGGCACTTGGGCGTCGAAGCGACGCTGGAGAGATATGGGGAGGAGCATGAAGGATGAGGAGACGGCATGGGCAGCACGGGGAGGTCCCTGGCAGGAACAGGATCGTCATCAGGATGAGGGCGAGTAGGCAGATCATTGCGATGGGGGAGAGGCATGGTGGTTCGGTGGAAAGGAGGAAGATGAATAACAAAGAAAATACCATGTTCCATACCCCCAGATTCTGTGCGAATCCCTGTACGTCCCCCCTCGGCCTGGTCACGGTCGAACCCGTGAAACAGCCTGATGTGCACCCTCCGCCCTCGCTCTCATACCACTCCTGTTCGTGTTTCCGCGCCCCCTATAACCGTGCATTCGCTCGCAGGCAACATGTCGCACATGGGCCTCGACCTGCCTGGCGTGGCCGACAGGGATGATGACGAGCCAGAGGCGGGCCGCGGGCGCGGCAACAAGAAGAAGGCATCTGATGGAACAAACACCACTCGAAGCTCGCGCTCTACTCCCTCCGACATCGGTCTCCTCAACCCTCGCCCTGCCCCCTCGCCCCCCGTCGTCGGACATGTCCTGGTCCCCATCCTCCTGGTCGGGGCCCTCCTCCGCCTGAATATCCAATCTATGTGCCAGCCTGGTCATCCCACTCAACATTCACGCCCGTAGACGTGCCTAATTCTGCGCCTTGGGTGCCGTCTATACCCGCTAAGGGCCGCTCCAACCTGGCGCTCCCAAAACGGAGCTGGCAACTGCCAGCTCCGCTTTGGGAGCGTCAGGTTGGAGCGGTGATGACTTGTGAAATGCCACAGCGTGGCAGGGTATGTATATGGTTGGGCCTCCCAAGCGGGAGGCTCGACCATGACATGCCCGCCAGCCCAAGGCGCTGCAGGAGATGAAGCGTGACATCAAGAAGCTCAAGGTGTGCTGCGAGACGGTCGCCGACATCAAAGCGGACAGCGCGACGTTCCAGGCGAAGGTCATCGAGTTCTTGCAAAAGATTGACAAAGCGACGAAGGAGACTCGGACTGAACGTCATTCCCCTCGCCGTCCCATGTCACCTCGCCCTACGGCTGCCGATGTCACTATCCCGTCATGGTCCCCGCTTCCTCTCCTGGATCTGCTCCTGCGCCTCGATCTCCGCCTCATCCTCCTCCTCCACATCCTCCTCCTCATAGTCCTCCTCCTCCTCCCCTCCTCTTACTCCCCTCCTCCTCCCCTCATCCTCAACTCCTCTACTCCTCTTCTCCTCCTCCTTCTCCTCCTCCTCCTCCACATCATCATCATCAGCATCGGCATCAGCATCATCATCATCATCATCATCATCATCATCAGCATCATCAGCATCATCATCATGTCACCATCATCATCGTCATCACCATCAGCAGCAGTAGCAGCAGCAGCAGCACCATCAGCATCATCATCATCAGGATCATCCCTCCTTCCCCTCTCCTTCGGAGAAGGGGCGGAGCGAGAGATCGATGAGGAGGAAAGAAGGAGAGACCAGACCATGCACCGCTTGCTCGATCGGGACCCATTCAGGGCACTTGGCCGATGGCGCGTCGTCGTCGCCGTCCGTCGTCCGTCGTGGCCGTCGCCATCGTCGTCGTGGTTCGTCGCCCCTCGTTCGTCGCCCTAGGACGGCGGCAGCGCGCTGATCAACATCGTCAGGCTCGCCCAGCAGAGCGACGGCTGCAGCAGCAAGGACGTGGAGCAGGCCAAGAAGGCCAGCTGGGGATGAGGGCGAACTTATGATGTATGAATGGCAAGGGGGCCGATGACTGGAATGGCAACACTGGGGGCAGACGAACAGGATGAGTCGGAGGAAGGTGATTTGGATGTTGAGGGTGGTGAGACTGCGGCACATCGGGGAGGATGCCGATGATGACGAGAAGGAGGAGGAGGAGGGATCGGAGGATTAAGGACGAGGAGTGGGAGGATGAAAAGGATGAGGACGAGGCTGAGGAGGATGAGGAACAGGAGGTGAACTAGGAGGCGATGGTGGTGTTGAGGTTGCTGAAAGCGGCCCACATTGGTCGTGGGGCCGTTGTTCACGACCCACCTCGACTCGCGGAGGGCAGTGCGAAACAACGGCCCGAAGAAGAAGAGGAGGATGAGGACGAGACTGATGCTGATGATGATGGGGATGGGGAAGGGGGGGGGGGGGTATGCAGGAGGAAGGAAGGAGGAGGGAGGGAGGGGGGGAGGGAAATATGGACGGCGGGCGGGCGGGCGGAGGAGGAGGAGGAGGAGGAGGCGGAGGAGGAGGAGGGCGAGGAGGAGGAAGAGGGGGAGCAGGAGCAGGAGGAGGAGGAGGATGATCGAACACGAACGGTAATGATGCGTCGAGTCTAGAGGCGATGTCTGCCATCAAGAAGCTCGGGGACGCCACCGAGGAGCTCCTGCTGGAGGACACGGTGAACGCTGCCCAGGCCAAGAAGGTCATCAGCCAGTCGAAGGCCGCGTTCGTGGCCGCCTCGGGCATCAGCTTGCTTTCGGAGTCCTAGGTAGTTGGCCCCGCGCAGCCCTGGTGCTGCCCGCCATTGCCATCATAAGAAATGATTTCAGCAGGTGCCCGTTTCACGTGTCAGAAATCAGGATCGCAAGGCGCGTCGTGTGCCACGGTGGCTCGAAGATGCGTGTGGGTAGCATGGCAATGGCGTGCTGCAAACGTTTTTGCTCGCGCTGCGGCAGCTGTGCAGACCGACGTCGCATCATGATCAAGCGGATCCGAAACGTCGGCTGTGCGGCGGGCCCCCGTGGGGCTCGAAAAGCACGTGTTGACGCTTCGCGAATCGCAACCAGCCCATCCAGAAACGATGCCCAGAAGACTTGCCTCGATCAGGGAAGTGGGCAGCATACGGAGGAAGCCATTCTGAGACATCGTGGGATATCTTGAGCCATCCTGGAGGTCATCTTAAGCTCCCCCAGGCGCTCTTGGAGTCATCCCAATCAGTCCAATATGTGGCGAACACCTTAGTGAACTCAATGCTTTGGCATGTTCGCCGAAGCTTCTTGGGGCATCGTGGGTGCCTTTGGGGGGGTCTTTGGAGGCCTCTTGGTGGTCTCTTGGGGGCCTCGTGGGGGGACCCTGGGGGCCTTTTGGGGCATCCTGGCCACCTCTTGGGGCCCTCTCGGGGCACCCTTGGGAGCCCTGGGGGTAATATTTGGGCCATCTTGGGTGAGATCGATCACAGGAGGGGGAGAGAATTGCAGTACCCCTCCTAAAGAGGCCAACATGGGCAAACACCCTAGCACAACCAAGTGCATTGGCTTCCCCGCCGAGGCCGTTTTGAACGCCCCGACGACGCGCGAACCCGCCGTCCAGGTCCAGGAGAGGGGGTGGTGGGAGGGGTAAACCCCTCCCCGAAGAGGAAGGAGGGGTGGAAGAGGAAACGCTCTAAACAACCGACGCCCAGAAGGCTGGTGGTATTGGCACCACATGGGCCGCGAGACCTTGGACGATCAATCCGATGAGTCTGGGCGTTGGCGTTCCAGGTCGGTCCGCGCTGCTGCCCGAGCTGCCTGGCCTTCCACCCGAAGGCCAGGCCTGTGCTGGCGAGCGCGCCAGGCATGTGCTGCTAGCGAGTTCGCTGGCGATGAAGCCAAGCGCGTGCT